TATCATTTTGTTCAAAAGTTATAGTGAAATTTGATAAAAAAAAGGTTAGAATTAATTAAAAACACATTTAATAGTAGACTAGACCAAAAGTAATTATTTTTTTTTGGAAATATTATGTATATTATCTTAATAAACTTATATTTTAATAATAATTTAGTATATGCTTCCTTTAACATGAGGTACACAATTTTTTTCTTTATATAATTTTAAAATTGTTACTAAAAATTATAAAGTTAGGATTAATTATAAAAGATTATTTTGTTGAAAGATTACAATTAAAAAAGAAAAGAAACTGAAAATATTAAAATTTTAGTTTGATCACACAAAGAAATAAATCACAATATAACATTAATAATATTTCTATGATGTCAATAATAAAAATAGGAGCCATTTGATAGATTAAAAAATAATTTCATAAATACTGCGGCAGTTTTAAGTGGAACCGTCGCAAAGTATTATTTCTTAAATATTGCGACTGTTTTAAGAGAACCGTCGTAATGCACTTTAATTTCTTTCAGAAAGTTACAAACCCTTGAAAAGGAGAGGCGGGGTAAAGTTTAATATTGCGGTAAACTGTAAGTTCTGAAAGTGAAACCCTTGAAAAGCAAAGTGAAACCCCGCCACTGTGCGCACGCTACGCATTCCGCCACCGCCACCGCACGAGACGCATTCTGCCACCGCCATTGCACGAGACGCATTCCGCCACCGCCACCGCACGAGACGCATTCCTCCACCGCCACTGCGTGAGACGCACCACCGCACGAGAAGCGGCTTGCCACCGTACAAAACACTTCGCACCATCGCACAAGACTCCTGGTACGTATTTTAGTAGCATTTGGTTTTGTTGAAGACTGATTAAAGGATTTTGCTGGAGAGTGATTAAAGGGTTTTGGGGGAATCGTATGGTAATTTCGCGAATATTTTTTCGATCAGTTATTCCACGTATATCTGCTAATATAAGCGTGACTTTTGGTTTAATAATTCTTCAAATAGAATTGTGCGAGATGCGTTTTCAAAAATTTGAATTGCAGTTCAATCTCATAATTATTTTTATTTTTCTATTTCCAGTTTGTTTTGTATTCAGTTTCATTAGTTTTTACATTTTCACTTCAATTATTAAAATTTACATTTACATTATATTAAATCACATTATGTTCACCTATATGAAGTTTATCACAATTCATTTAGTTATTACTTTTTCATTTTAATTATTATAATTTACGTTATATTACATTATGTTCACCTATATTAGTTTTGGCCCAATAAAAGAAGCTTATCACAGTTCAATCAGTTTAACTGTTTTAGATTTTATTCTATGCATATGAACATGCTAAACTACTAATAAAACTGTAACAAAAAAAGTACTAATAGAACTAAAAGTACATTCATCAAGTTTGGAAGTGTCGAACAGTAGAAGGCAATTGTTTTATAGAAAGAGAAAGAAGAAAATGTGTACAAAGCTACAAATTAAAAGAAATCTGAAATCATATTATTTGCTCACCTTTTAATAAACCAAAGGCCTAAAACTGCTAGGCTTGCAATTTGCCATTTGACCCAAATACCAGTAGTTCAGTCCTATCTCGAAAGAACAGCTTCACAATTATAAAAATAATATTGAAGAGAATCAGGGGAAGTCTCAAGAATTGACAGTACTTGCCTTTTAAGAGAATAGGACAGAGGCATAGCATAAGCATAGTATCATAGTTATCATTAGAAAACAAAAAAAAGAACAAAAAGAATAGTAACATAGATACGCTGAATTTGGCTTTATTGATCACAGGATTGGGAAAAAAATAGTACAAAGTCATAAGCAACAACCGAACACAAGTTATAATTACGAATATCAAATATTTGGATCATCTTTTCTATGATAATTTGTAATATAATTCTATTTTATTTTGAATTTGGACCACCACTATGTACAAGTATAAAGATCGTAGGTTATATTGTTATATTAAGTAATTAAATAAATGGTAAGTAATTGGGAAAGAGGACGATGATTCATGTTAAGGATGATGGAGAAATGTCTTGGTATGAAACTTTTTGTAACATAACATGGGCTACTGATAGAGCTGTCAAAATGGGTTTGACCCGGCGAGCCAACCCGGCTCACCACGGGTTCGAGCCGGGTTCGGTTAAAAAAAATTTGAAAATTTTAATACTGGTTGAAAAAAATTTAAAAATTTCAATTCGGGTCAAATTTGAACCCGGCTCACCCGGGTTGAACCCGTGGTGAGCTGGGCTGGCCCACCAACCCGTGATTAATTTTTTTTTTTTGAAAAAATACAATAATTATTGGGTCATGGTGCAGTCCAACATGAGACAATAATAATTTAATGTTAGATTGTGATATGTAATTTTTGTGATTTTGGATTGTATTTGAAGTTTAAGATAATTTTGGATTATATTTATCTATTTGAGATTATTTAGATTTGATTTGATTGTATTTAAAATTATCATTTAATGTTTGGGATGGATAATTCATTTAAGGATGTCTTAATTAAGAATCTAAAATTTTTAAAATAAGTTTAAATTTTTGGGCTTTAGTTGTATATTAAGAAAAAAAAAATGAAAAAAATTATTTTTTTTTTAAGGTGAGCCAACCCGTTTAACCCACCAACCCGTGGTGGGCCGGGCCGGGCTCGATTTTTTTGAGCTCACTGATAAGTGAGCCGGGTTAGGTTGGCCCACCAAATGGCTAACCCGTGGTGGACCGGGCCGGGCCGAGCCGGGTAGCCCGTTTTGACAGCTCTAGCTACTGATATGCCTTTTGCTTTTTTAATGTTTCTCCTCTCCTCTGTGTACCACTGTCATGACCACCACCTATGCCTGCACATGCCTCCACTTTTATTATCCACATCACATACTTTTTTTTATTAGAAATTACAACCATTTTTTATTAGTGTTTTTTTTTGTATTACAATATTTTATATTATTTTTCCAGTTATAATACTGATCTTTGCTCTCAATATTGAGACTACACTTTCTTATACAAAAGACACATTATTAGTTTAGCTTATCAAAATCATTACGTAATGATTTTATGTAATGATTGCAAAGAAAAGATGATTCACATGGATTTTATAAATGAAAGGTACAAAGTCAGCACTCAACAACCATGCAATGCAATGGCTTGGGACGTGTTTGGATTCACAAATGAAAATGGGCTCCACTGAGTGATATTATTTTTAAAACTTCCTACCCAAAAGAGGACGGTCTAGTGATATTATTTTTGGGTGGGTACAAATTCTACTGATTAATATTATTTTTCTGCGTAGACCTTAACTAATTAATTAGGTGGAGTTTGAATTAGTCTTTTTCCGTAAGGCTTAATGGAAATGTTCAATCAATTCAAGATAGCTATTTCATTTGGGCATGTTATATATTATGTGGGTGGAAGATATGATTTGTGTCCAATAACAAGTCTGAATTACTCTATCCCAATGCCATCCAAGTTGAATAAATATAAGAATGTACCCATTCCACACAACTATTGGTATAAATTCTACTCATTCGGTCACTAGTTCAAAACAAGGGTGGATTGGTACTCCTGCACATGAACCTCCACATTATTTTATTTCTCTTCATTTACATGTGACACTTTTAAATATAATTTAATACAGTGTTTAATTCAGTTTTTCTTAGTTTTTTTTTTAAATATGAAATTTATTTTTAATTAGTTTGTATATATTTCTATTTTTGTTTAATAAAATGTTTATTTTTTGTATAAAAAAATGATTCACCTGGTCAACTATTTTGATTGAGAAACATTATTCATGAATGATCTAGCAGAATTCACATTCTTCATATATAAATTGTAAACAATTATTATCAGATTTAGAGAAGTCACAACATAATCTAGTTTAGCTTATTTAGATATTGTTATTTATTTTGTTATATTAAGTGAAAATGACTGCTCTTTTTGAACACGTAAATATTTCTAAATGTTATCATATCATTTTTTTTGTTCATCTCTAACTTGACTTTTTTAATTTGTGTTGTTAGGATCATTTTCTTCACATGCCTTGTTGGATCTTTTGAAGGAAGTTACAAGTAATTGCTCATCTAACAAAGGTATGCAAAAAATTATCTCTTTTAAATTAGTGATGTGTGTATGGTAGATAAATTCATTGTGTTTTATCTTGTGTAATGAGAATTTTTAGTTAAATATCCTTTCATTATTGTATATAGAATTGAAATGTTAAAGTGTGATATTTGATTTTAATTTAGATTCAACATTTAAAGTAATGGACAAGTCATGGATTATGAAGCCACAAAACTCTATTGAATATGAGCAAGGGGTTAGGCAATTCATTGATTTTGCCCTTGAGCATAACTTTGCTAATGGAAAACTTATATGCCCTTGTAAACGATGTGGTTTCAAGAAATGGCATTGTAGAGATGTGGTGTATGATCACTTGATTTGTACACCATTTCCAAAAGGATACACTTGTTGGGTCCATCATGGGGAGATGAGAATAGGAGAAACTAGTTATAGCTCACATAATAGAATGCCAAATGAAGTCCATGAAAATGTTGTTGAAAATCCTATTGAAAGCATGATCAATGATGCTTTTGGAGTTGATATGCACCATGCACACGAAGTACCCATTGCATCAAATTTAGATGTCCACTTGGATGATGTAATGCCACATACAACTCAAGAAGAGCATGAATCTAGAGAGTACTATGAACTAGCTAGAGATGGACAAGAACCTTTGTACGAAGGGTGTATAAAATACTCAAGGTTGTCTTTTTTGGTTAAATTGTATCACATCAAATGCTTGTGTGGGATTAGTGACAAGGCCATGACCATGATTTTAGAACTATTAAATGATGCATTTGAAAATGTGAAGATACCATGTTCATTTTATGAGGCCAAGAAAATAATAACCAAGCTTGGTTTGAATTATGAAAAGATACATGCTTGTCCGAATAATTGTATGCTATATTGGGGCAATAGGGAAGATGAAGAGAGGGAGGCATGCAAAACTTGTCACACTTCTAGATGGAAATCAAGGGAAAAAGTTGGTATGGTTGAGGTGACTAGTGAAGACAATAATCTTAAGAAAATACCTGCAAAAGTTCTTCGGTATTTTCCACTAAAACCTCGATTGCAAAGGTTATTTTTGTCTTCAAAATCAGCAAAGGATATGATATGGCATGCTGTTGATAGTAACAATGATGGGATGTTGAGACATCCTAGAGATTCTGAAGCTTGGAAGCATTTTAATTTGACACATAAAGAGTTTGCATCAGATCCAAGAAATGTGCGTCTTGCACTAGCTACTGATGGTTTTAATCCTTTTGGTCTTATGAGTCCAAATTATAGTATACGGCCTGTTATTCTCATTCCATACAACATGCCTCCGTGGTTGTGCATGAAGCCAACATCTTTTATAATGTCAATGATAATACCTGGTAAAAAAATGCCAGGAAATGATATAGATGTCTACTTACAACCTTTAATCAAAGAGTTGAATGAGTTGTGGACAACAAGTGTGGATGCCTATGATTCCTTCAAGAAAGAGATGTTTAAATTGCGTGCAGCTTTGATGTGGACAATTAGTGATTTTCCTGGGTTAGGAACACTTTCTGGATGGAACACTTACACTGGTCTTGCTTGCCCATCTTGTAACTTTGACTTTGCTCCCCTTCATCTCAAAGATAGTGGCAAATTTTGCTTTTGGGGATTTCGTCGTTATCTTGACCAGAGACATAGATTTAGATTGTGCATAATACGTTTTAATGGTGAGCAAGATATGTGTAATCCACCAAAAAGGTTAAGTGGTGTTGAAATACTTCAACAAGTTGAAAATGTTAAAGTTGTATTTGGTAGGGAAAAAAAAAAAGATTCAAGAAAAAGAAAACGAAGTGAACGATTTGCTCAAAGAGTTACTGAACAATGGCATAAGAAGAGCATATTTTTTGATCTGATATATTGGAAACAAAATTGTTTGCGTCATTGTCTTGATGTAATGCATATAGAGAAGAATGTATGTGATAATATTATAAATACTTTGTTGAATGTTCCTAAAAAGAGTAAAGACCATGTTGATGCTCGAAAAGACCTTAAAGTTTTGGGAATAAGACCTGATCTCTGGCCTAATGAAAATGGAAGATACCCTCAAGCTATCTTTACTTTGTCTAGTAAAGGTAAGAGGACATTTTTAACGACTTTAAAGAATATTAGTGTACCAGATGGTTACTCAAGCAACATTTCTAGGTGCATTGACTTGGAAACTTTAAGGTTTAATGGAATGTTGAAAAGCCATGATTGTCATATATTAATGGAACAATTACTACCGTTAGCTATGAGGTCATCATTGCCAGATGAGGTTTCAACAATACTAATTGAGTTATGCTCATTTTTTAGACAATTATGTGGCAAAGTTTTAAAAGTTGAAGATTTAGACAAAATGCAAAATCAAATTGTCCTCACTTTATGCCACATGGAAATGATATTTCCACATTCGTTCTTCACTGTTATGGTTCATTTGAAAGTACAGAAATATCTAGGACATGATTAATGTCAGACATAGAAGCAAACAAACGATACAAAAGACTTCGTGAAATGCAGATTCAGCAAGAAAACATTAAATGCAATAATCCACGAAGACTGTGCAAACTAAACAAGAGAATCACATGATGACTAGTCAAGCATCACAACGAAGTCTGCTCACAGATGGAAGAGGACTACCGCCAGAATGTGACACTGGAGTATCAGACGAAGCTTATGAAGAATAGTCAAGGCAAGACACGTCATACGGACCAAACAAGTCGAGACAAATGAAGCAAATGACATAGGAAACTAAGCGTCAAAAGATAAATAGATGGAACACGAATATGCGCCAGATGATCATAAAATATCCAGACAAAGTTGTGTCAAGCGCAACTATTCTAAAGCGCAAATCAGACTAGGCATATGTCTAAGGTCAGAAGAAAGTCAACTATGCATCAGAAGAAGGACAACACAGACTGAGAGATACTCCAAACGAAACAATGTTTGTCTATTCACATTGTTGACCAAATTAAAGAAAAATCAAAGCACTAAACTTAGACGCTGAGATAAAAGTCAAGATTGAAATGCACAGGACCAATAGATGAAGATGGAGACTGTTACGCAAGCAAATAAAGAATCACGTCTCAAGAAACAAACCAAGACATCGTCTATGACCACATAAAAGCTATCAATGTAAAATGTGTGATCTAATTGAAGGAACAAAGAAGAAGAGAAGCACGCAAAAGCAGAGCATGCATGTGTCATAAAAAATGCACTACTTTTTCACAAAAGGACAATGGCTATATTGTTGCATGACCAGAAAAAGACAAATAATTTCTAGGTCTCAGATAAAGTCAAACACTTCTGGCAACAAGACAGAGAAGAATACACGCAATGTCTAAGAACAGGAAGCAATATTTAATGCAAGACCAAATACATTAAATGAAAGGTGACGGGCCAGAAATGGTCGAGAATACTTGGGGAACCAGAAGTGGTTTAAGAATACTAGCGTTGGTGAGTGAAGCCAACAGGCCAGGAGTGGTCGAGAATACTTGGGGAACCAGAAATGGTTTAAGAATACTAGCGTTGGTGAGTGAATCCAACGGGCTAGGAGTGGTCAAGAACACTTGGAGAACCAGAAGTGGTTTAAAAATACTAGTGCTGGTAAGTGAAGCTGGCAGGCCAGGAGTGGTCAAGAATACTCAAGTCCAGGAGTGGACAATAATACTCAATGTTCTTCATTTTGATATCTAGTGGAACCCTTTAGTTGAAGGAGACTGGACGTAGCTCAGTTGAGCGAACCAGTATAAAATGATTGCATTGCTTTTCTTGTTTAACCAGGAACAAATCTTCTTTACTGATTAAATCTTTGTGAAAGACTTCGTCCAATATTTACATATCATTAAAATCATTTTTCAAATGAAGACACAATTTCGTTTAACAAATATATTACATTGGAAAGATTTATCTACTGCTTGTCTTTAAACGAAACTATCTTGAAAAGGAAAATGTAAGAACTTCATTAATTATTATTACAAATCATTTTCCTCAGCAGACGATAAACCTTTTAGACGCCATGACCTTGTGTTAACCAAATTCTGCCTAATCATCTGATATTTGAAAGTAGGGGTGAGCAACGGGTGGGTTTGGTCGGGTTCGGGTGAAAAATGTCCAACCCGTTGTAAACCGACTTTGAAAAAATGTGACCCATATCCGACCGACTGAGCTTTCGATTTGAGGCAGTTCGGGTTGAAACGGATTCGGATTTAAGCGGGTGGGTATAATCGGGTTTGAATTTTTTTGTAGACCAATTTATCTTAACGAAGATAAAGCTTAAAACGATAAAAAATATTTTTAAAAGTGTATAAAAATAGAATGAAGGTGACAATAGATGGTGTAAATAGATTCGTCTCCATTGGTTGAGAGGCCTTTTGGGTGATGTCCAAAAGCAAAACCGTGGGGGCTTGGGCCTAAAGCGAACAGTATCTCACCAATGTGGAAACATGTGTATATGAGGTTCTTCATCTGGATATCTAGTGGAACCCTTCAGTTGAAGGAGACTAGACGTAGTCAGTTGAGCGAACTAGTATAAAATGTTTGCATTACTTTTGCTGTTTAACTTAGAACAAATCCACCTTACTGAGCAAATCTTTGTAAAAAACTTCGTCCAATATTTACATACAGTTAAAACCAATTTTCAAACAAAGACACAAATTTGTTTAATAAATATATTACACTGAAAAGCTTTATCTACTACTTTTCCTTAAACGAAACTATCTTGAAAAGGAAAATGTAATAACTTCAATTATTATTATAAACTATTTTCCTCAGCAGTTGATAAATCCTTCAAACGCAATGATCTTGTGTTAACCAAATTCTGTCTAACCGTCTGATATTCAAAAGTGCATTGGACGAAGTATATTACTCTTGCAAAAAATGATTTCAAAACTCCTTAGAACACACACACATATTCAACCCCCCTCCCCTTCTATGTGTTTTTCCCCTAACTTCAAAGAAGGCTAGATTGCGTCTGAAGTCACAACGAGAAGAACTACCTAGCATCCACACTCTTAGAAGAACACATGAAGTCATCAAAATAGAAGAAGAGAGAAGAGAAAAATAGAACTAGCGGTTATCCACAAATCAAAGTTCCATGTGTCAGAGCAAGTACACCTACCAGTCAGCAAAGGACAACACCTCTATATCTACAATATCAGGAAAGTACAGAAATATCTAGGACATGATTAATGTCAGACATAGAAGCAAACAAACGATACAAAAGACTTCGTGAAATGCAGATTCAGCAAGAAAACATTAAATGCAATAATCCACGAAGACTGTGCAAACTAAACAAGAGAATCACATGATGACTAGTCAAGCATCACAACGAAGTCTGCTCACAGATGGAAGAGGACTACCGCCAGAATGTGACACTGGAGTATCAGACGAAGCTTATGAAGAATAGTCAAGGCAAGACACGTCATACGGACCAAACAAGTCGAGACAAATGAAGCAAATGACATAGGAAACTAAGCGTCAAAAGATAAATAGATGGAACACGAAATCTTCAGTAAGGAAATCTTATTACTTGTTTTAATTTGTTAAGGTGTTTTGATGACCATACATCTAATATGACATGAATAAATAGGCAATATAGAAGCATTGTACGAAGACAACTAAGGGGTGGTGCAAGGAGTACTATTCAGGTTGATAAGAAGGTTCACAGAGAGTTTGTTCCTTGGTTTGCCAATCGTGTTAGTGTTCATAATTAACTTACTCTTTATCTATATGTCATTTAAATTTTGGGAATGACGCTTAAATTATATTTTTTGGAATATAGATTCGCAACAATCTCGATACTCTTAGTGGAATATAGATTCGCAACAATCTCGATACTCTTATGAAAAGAATCAAATTTTTAAATGTATGTTTTCTTTTATAAATTCTTTTAAGTGTATGGATTTGTTTTTATTAATTATAGGAAATTCTTTTAAATTCTTTTAGAAGTTGATATTAATTATGGTTTATATTTATAGATATGCTTCCTTCAAGACAAGTTGCTTCTAGGAGTAGATCCATGCCAAATCCACAAAATGCACCTAGTGCATCTCATCAAAATGCACGTGTTCATCAACAAAGTGAGCCTATACCTAATGTTGAATCATCTCAAGAAGAGGTACAAGCAGGGACTAATGAGACTGAGAATGTACCTGATAATCCACTGGTGGTTCAGAGAAGAACATCTCCATATTGGACTGTTGATGTTATTGGTGCGTAATTAATTTTAATTAGTTTTTATATATATATCTTTTTAATTATTATATGTTATGTTAACAATAAACTTTGTTGTATTAGATGGGGAAGGTCACATATCACAAACACGTCTAAGGATGCAAGATGTGTTTGCAATGACTGATAGTCCAACAAAGATACTGACACAATGGAATAGACATAATCAACCAGTGGGTGATTCTTCTAGTTTGTTAGTAGGATTTTTAGGCCAAGTGGCATCCAACTTTGGCAACTTTCCTGTACTGTATGAGAATTGGGCATAGGTTCCTAAAGAGTATAAAAATAATGTTTTTGTTAACACGATACAGGTATTACTTAAAGTTAAATGAAAATGATGTTTGATTTTTTTTATGTATTTTGTGTCTAACATGACTTTTTATTTTGATTTTGAAGGCTAATTTTGTTGTTAACGATCAAAAACACAAAGAATACATCTTTTGGAGCTTGGGAAAGAAATGGAAGGACAAACGGTGTAGATTGTTTGATAAATTTCATGATTGGGAAAAATCTGTGGAGCAAAATATACAGAATCACCCACCGCACATTCCCCAAGATCATTGGGCTATTTTTGTGCGTTATAGGCGAAGCAGTAAAGCAATTGTAATAACAATTTCCTTTGAACTTGGTTCTTTATGTTGGATAATAATCATATTAACCCTGCTTATTATTGTCCTTACAGGATATGTCTAACAAAAATACTACAAATCGTGCAAAGCTAATGATCCCCCACATACTAGGCTCTAAAACTCTTGCAAGGAAAAGGGATGAGTTGGTATTTATATGGTTCAATTTCTTATTTTAACTAGCTAATATATTTATTGATAATTTGTATTCTTAATCACTACATGATGCTTATTGTTAGGAGTTGTTACATGGCCGGGAATTTAGTAGAGCAGAAATGTATCAAGTTTCTCACAAAAAGCCTGATGGAAATTTTGTTAATGAAGAGGCTAGAGAGTTACATGTAAGCTTAATGTGTTATTTGAACTTTATTGTTATTTGAACTTCATTATTATTTATGGTCTACTACTGTTTAAATGCTATTATGTTTAATGTTATTTACAGGAAAAGTTGCAAAATGAAATGCAAAATTGTTCTGAAAATGAAGCTTTTGAGAGAGTTTGTGGGAAAGAACATCCTGGCTATGTACGTGGTATGGGACTTGGAGTTAGGCCATCTCAAATCATTGGATCTTCTTCTCGTGCAACATCATCAACTACTTCCTTTCAGTCTAATGAAAAGGTGGAACAACTGCAAGCTGAAATTGACTCACTCAAGGCACAAGTTGCAGAAGTCGATGTCTTAAAGGAGCAGATTGCATTTCTTATGCAACGTGTTAAGGGAAATGAGGTAAAATAAATATTATTATGTTTTTTAAAATTTGAAAGCATAGAATGACATGTATAGTTGTTAGTTGTATTTTGTTTTGTCAATAAGAATAACTGGATAATGATTACAATTTTGTCTACTTCATTGAAATGGTTAACTTATATTTATAAGAATTTTGAGCATTCTTATGTTTAATGGGTTATTAGTCTATGGTATTGCATTTTGGGGAGGTTTATGGTGGATTGATTGAAAGCTTTGGAATTATAATGCTTGATGGTATTCTTATAATGCTTGATGAATTATAGTGTATGTTGCTGCTTATTTTATACTCACAGTGAGGTGGAAAAGTTGAATATTATACTTGATGAATGTTAATACTAGTATGATTTTCATTTTTACTTATTTTTATTTATTTTGTTTTGTTCCAGGCACCTGACTTGGAATCACCTGTAAATGGAAAGCCTTCCTCTGAAGGGAGTCATATTCCTGAAGGCCATGACTTAGATTCACCTACCACTGTTTAGTTTATATTTTGTTTTTAATTTATGCAGTCTAATTAAGAAACTTAAATACATACTTGTGTGTTTTTTTTGGATTTGTCTAATGTTGTATGAGAAGCATAATTTAATACTCTATATGTTTATGAATTCTATTTTATTTTATTATTAGCTTATGTTATTTATTTTTGTCTAATTATATTACAGTTTAAATAAAAATAATAGATAGACAAGTATTATAACAAAAAAATATATAAAATGATTGTTGTATATATTATTGTAATAATTCCTAAATTCTAATCTAATTAATGTTTACTTGTATTGTAATATATATAAAATATTAATAAGTATGCATTAACCTCTACTAAATTGTGACATAAAATATTTATAAAATAAAATAAATAATGATTGATGTATTTTTAAAAAGTGATATGAAATTTATTTAAAAGTATAAATTAATTTTTAGAAAATTATTGCAACAATTAAAGAATAAATTAATTTTAAAAAATAATATAAAATTTAATTTTAAACAATAAATAATAAATATAGCGACATTTAAATAACTGTCGCAATGTTAATATAGAGGCAGTTAGTGCGACAGTTGATGGAAGGGTCGCAATATTAATATAGAGGCATTTAGTGCGACGGTTGCTTCAAGGGTCGCAATATTCATATCGAGACAGTTAGTGCGACAGTTGATGGAAGGGTCGCAATGTTAATATAGAGGCATTTAGTGCGACGGTTGCTTCAAGGGTCGCAATTCAAATTTTGCGACGGTTTGTGCAACGGTTCTGATAACCGTCGCAAAATTGCCTGGTGACGGACAATTCTGTGACGGTTCCCAAACCGTCGCAATGTTTCCTTTGCGGCAGTTTTAACCGTCGCAATGTAGGTCATATAACCGTCGCAAAATCGTCATTTTCTTGTAGTGGTTCTTCATCTGGATATCTAGTGGAACCCTTCAGTTGAAGGAGACTAGACGTAGTCAGTTGAGCGAACTAGTATAAAATGTTTGCATTACTTTTGCTGTTTAACTTAGAACAAATCCACCTTACTGAGCAAATCTTTGTAAAAAACTTCGTCCAATATTTACATACAGTTAAAACCAATTTTCAAACAAAGACACAAATTTGTTTAATAAATATATTACACTGAAAAGCTTTATCTACTACTTTTCCTTAAACGAAACTATCTTGAAAAGGAAAATGTAATAACTTCAATTATTATTATAAACTATTTTCCTCAGCAGTTGATAAATCCTTCAAACGCAATGATCTTGTGTTAACCAAATTCTGTCTAACCGTCTGATATTCAAAAGTGCATTGGACGAAGTATATTACTCTTGCAAAAAATGATTTCAAAACTCCTTAGAACACACACACATATTCAACCCCCCTCCCCTTCTATGTGTTTTTCCCCTAACTTCAAAGAAGGCTAGATTGCGTCTGAAGTCACAACGAGAAGAACTACCTAGCATCCACACTCTTAGAAGAACACATGAAGTCATCAAAATAGAAGAAGAGAGAAGAGAAAAATAGAACTAGCGGTTATCCACAAATCAAAGTTCCATGTGTCAGAGCAAGTACACCTACCAGTCAGCAAAGGACAACACCTCTATATCTACAATATCAGGAAAGTACAGAAATATCTAGGACATGATTAATGTCAGACATAGAAGCAAACAAACGATACAAAAGACTTCGTGAAATGCAGATTCAGCAAGAAAACATTAAATGCAATAATCCACGAAGACTGTGCAAACTAAACAAGAGAATCACATGATGACTAGTCAAGCATCACAACGAAGTCTGCTCACAGATGGAAGAGGACTACCGCCAGAATGTGACACTGGAGTATCAGACGAAGCTTATGAAGAATAGTCAAGGCAAGACACGTCATACGGACCAAACAAGTCGAGACAAATGAAGCAAATGACATAGGAAACTAAGCGTCAAAAGATAAATAGATGGAACACGAATATGCGCCAGATGATCATAAAATATCCAGACAAAGTTGTGTCAAGCGCAACTATTCTAAAGCGCAAATCAGACTAGGCATATGTCTAAGGTCAGAAGAAAGTCAACTATGCATCAGAAGAAGGACAACACAGACTGAGAGATACTCCAAACGAAACAATGTTTGTCTATTCACATTGTTGACCAAATTAAAGAAAAATCAAAGCACTAAACTTAGACGCTGAGATAAAAGTCAAGATTGAAATGCACAGGACCAATAGATGAAGATGGAGACTGTTACGCAAGCAAATAAAGAATCACGTCTCAAGAAACAAACCAAGACATCGTCTATGACCACATAAAAGCTATCAATGTAAAATGTGTGATCTAATTGAAGGAACAAAGAAGAAGAGAAGCACGCAAAAGCAGAGCATGCATGTGTCATAAAAAATGCACTACTTTTTCACAAAAGGACAATGGCTATATTGTTGCATGACCAGAAAAAGACAAATAATTTCTAGGTCTCAGATAAAGTCAAACACTTCTGGCAACAAGACAGAGAAGAATACACGCAATGTCTAAGAACAGGAAGCAATATTTAATGCAAGACCAAATACATTAAATGAAAGGTGACGGGCCAGAAATGGTCGAGAATACTTGGGGAACCAGAAGTGGTTTAAGAATACTAGCGTTGGTGAGTGAAGCCAACAGGCCAGGAGTGGTCGAGAATACTTGGGGAACCAGAAATGGTTTAAGAATACTAGCGTTGGTGAGTGAATCCAACGGGCTAGGAGTGGTCAAGAACACTTGGAGAACCAGAAGTGGTTTAAAAATACTAGTGCTGGTAAGTGAAGCTGGCAGGCCAGGAGTGGTCAAGAATACTCAAGTCCAGGAGTGGACAATAATACTCAATGTTCTTCATTTTGATATCTAGTGGAACCCTTTAGTTGAAGGAGACTGGACGTAGCTCAGTTGAGCGAACCAGTATAAAATGATTGCATTGCTTTTCTTGTTTAACCAGGAACAAATCTTCTTTACTGATTAAATCTTTGTGAAAGACTTCGTCCAATATTTACATATCATTAAAATCATTTTTCAAATGAAGACACAATTTCGTTTAACAAATATATTACATTGGAAAGATTTATCTACTGCTTGTCTTTAAACGAAACTATCTTGAAAAGGAAAATGTAAGAACTTCATTAATTATTATTACAAATCATTTTCCTCAGCAGACGATAAACCTTTTAGACGCCATGACCTTGTGTTAACCAAATTCTGCCTAATCATCTGATATTTGAAAGTAGGGGTGAGCAACGGGTGGGTTTGGTCGGGTTCGGGTGAAAAATGTCCAACCCGTTGTAAACCGACTTTGAAAAAATGTGACCCATATCCGACCGACTGAGCTTTCGATTTGAGGCAGTTCGGGTTGAAACGGATTCGGATTTAAGCGGGTGGGTATAATCGGGTTTGAATTTTTTTGTAGACCAATTTATCTTAACGAAGATGAAGCTTAAAACGATAAAAAATATTTTTAAAATAGTGTATAAAAATAGAATGAAGGTGACAATAGATGGTGTAAATAGATTCGTAGTTGAAACATTTACAAACTAAAGAAGCAAAAATAAAAGATAACAAAATTCATAGTTGTTACATGGAAAAGAAATATAAAGTTAGATTACAAAATCATAAGAAATCACAGTCACACAAAATGTACTCAAAATGGAGATAAGAAGATGGAAAAGAAAGACAAAGAAAGAAGCAAAAAGATAACTCTAAAAATGGACTAGTGTGTTGAGAAGTTGAATGAGGAAGGAGAAGACAAAATAAATATCTAAGTTATGAGAAAAAGGAAAAAAATAAGTTACAAATTGATGGCTATATTATACTTGAAATAAAGACTTTTAAATTTGGACCATTGTTGTTTAGTTATACAAAAGTAATAAAAATTTAAACTTATCTCATTTTCGGTTGGGTTCGATTTTTAGCGGATTTAAAAATTCAAAACCGAACCCGCCCAATATAACCCGTATAAAATCAAAATTTTAACCCAATTTACCCATAAGACCCGCCCGAACCCACCCAAAAGCAATATTTTTTTTCGGGTTTTTCGGGTTCGGTTCGGGTGTCGGTTTAATGCTCACCCCTATTTGAAAGTGCATTGGACGAAGTATATCACTCTTGCAAAAAATGTGTTCAAAATTCCTTTGTACACACACACATATTCAACCCCCCCTTCTATGTGTTTTTCTGCTAACTTTAGTCCCTAAACTAGGGTCAAAGCCAAGACCAATTTTGTAATATAGAAGTCTTTTATGCTTTAAGAGCATGTTTAACTTAAAAATTCCATACACAAATTTAGCTAGGTCCTTCCTAAGTTGTAGGATTTTAGCTTCCAATATCTATAACCTCAAGTGGAACAAAGCTAATGATCATGTCCTTGAGAGATTTTATCTCTCCTACTCCATGTGACACGTTCTTCCTCTTTTCAAGATTTTCCTTTTAAAAAATCTTTAGTTTTTCTATTAATTTCTTGTACGCGAGTGAGACCATGTGAGAGTTAGCCAAGAGAGTCACATAATGATAGGATTCCTAATTTGCACAAGGAATGAAGAAGGATCTTTTGGGTTAAAAATCTGGAACTTAATTTTCTGGAATTAGAATGCTAGAAATGAAGGTAAAAGGATACAGTAAAAAAAAATTGAATGAAGGAAGAATCACTCTTCCAAGGAAAAGGCTTCACACAAAGAATTGTGGTTTATCCTTTGATATGCCCAAACTCTTGAATCACTCAAGAACAATTAGAGAATTACTCTCAGTAATTAAAACTCAAATTCTGATCTGATTTTGTTCATCCTCATGGGCAGCTTATATAGCTTACAATCAACAACCTTCACTTACATTAGTGGACAAATAATGGACTCCACTAAGCCTGAATTATGACCACTAATGACAAAATATTATAAAAAAACACTTTAGTGGGCAATTATTGAACTTCCACTAAGCCTAACAATTATGACCAACTAGGGGTGAGCATTAAACCGACACCCGAACCGAACCCGAAAAACCCGA